GTTGTAACACAGGAAAGCAGTGTGTCACAAGCAGGGGGTTAGTTTGTTTTATTTGTTACATCTTAAGTGGTTGTATGCAACCCTGGAGCCTTTATTTTTCATGTGAAGGATGCATTTATTTTGGCAAACCCTTTATGAAACCTGTTCTTACCCAGGAATGTTCCATACCGCATCAGAGTGCGTTTGTCTAGGAAACGCAATGAGGATGAAGATTCACCAAACAAGCTGTATACGCTGGTTACTTATGTACCTGTCACCACTTTCAAAAGTAAGTTAATACAGCTCAATATGAGCTCTGACCTTGGGGCACTTAATTTTGACTTTTATTCAAAACATTGTTTAGAGTATGCCTGGTTACGAAAAATGCTTATGTCGAAAATGAAATTCACTCTGTATTTTCTGTTGCTTTGCAGGTTTACAGACAGTCAATGTGGATGAAAACTAAATTGAACTTCTTTAAATAAAGTTATAAAATCTCAGCTGGTAGCCTGTTTTAACTGTGTAAGTTACTTGCTTGTGACTTTGGGTTTTGTTTATGTTATGTAAGAAGAAGGTACTTTAAAGTAGGTTCTGGGTGCTCCACAGGTAACTACCTCTTTTTAAATTTTTAATGGATGGCAGCATAGGATTTATAGTCAAATAGGATTATGTTAGGAACAGTAACTTGAAATGATTTCTCTTCCTGTAGACTAAACCCCCAGTATGGGGAAGCCAAGAGGGGTCAAGATCCATGTTTACCCATTGATCCTAGAAGCTGCACCAAGACTTGCAACCTACTCTGTGGACACACTTTGAGTGCAGGTTACTGCTTGGTGGCAGCAGAGCATGACTATGCAGCGGACGGGGGAACTAGAGAATATGGTTGTTGGGATTCAGGTGTGTGCATTTTGATGATGGATTGTTAATGATTTGTGCATCTGGTTGTAGTGAACATGTGCCAGCATTTGGTTTATGACAGACCACTTTTTGTAAAACTCAAAAACAAGTAGCATTGATGGTTCCTCCTCATGTAATAGGGATGACTGTCTTTGCCCATTTCACATCCAAGAGAGGAGCTTAGTGTCTTTGATATTTTAGGGGTTGATACCTCTATAGTTCATCACAAAAATATAAAATTCCATTGCATTGAAAAGTTAAGGTTCTTTATCTGCCTTGTAATGGAGATGAACTATGGTATGTTTAGAGTATACCCTAAAGGAGGTGTTTTCCAATACAATGAATAGGCTGGACCAAGTTTTAACTCCCAAATTCTAGTATTGTTTTGTCCAAATTCTGTTTGTATGTGTGCTTAAAGGCTTTTTATAGAAAGGGACACTATGAAAAGTGTTCAAGTAACTTAAAACCAGCAAGTCAATACAAAAGAATATTATTAAAAACTGCTTTTGGGGACCAACAACATCAAAAGCATGGTTTGTACACTTTTTTTTGCAAGACATACAAATTGAATACAACCAAAAATATTAAAAGAGTTTCAATTACCAGCATTGAAACAGGTTTTCAAGATTAGTGCAAAAAGAAAAGAAAGAAGCCAATTGCAAACAAGTAGCTCTTAAACCAGGACGTGAATTAATTCCTCCCCCCAAACACCCCAAATCTCACTGAGTAACATCTTTTACATTCATTGGTGGGGGAGGTGCTCTAAAAAAATACAGGTTATCCCTTTATACAAGAGATAAGCAGCAGCAAACTCTGAAATGAAATCATAGCTTAAACATTGAGAGACAAATCAGGAATAGCCAAGAGTATAGCCTGCTCTGCTCTGTCTTCTCCAGGGTCCTTAGCTAGAATTGGTTAGAGATTTGATAAAGGAATGAATGACTTCTGTCCAAGTCCTGTAAATAAAGCTTAATATTTCTTCGTCTCCAGTTTCATTGGGTTGCTGTCTTATCGAGATACCTCTCTAATCCCTCAAGTTTCTAAAACTTAACTCAAGCTGACGTTTGGACAGAGCTCACTATTTATTCTAAACAGTACGCTAAGAAACTGAGAAGCAGCCTTGTTTGCAACATGTGCTTTGGTATAGCATCCTCCAGTGTACTCAACAGAATGGTGGTGCTGGGCTACAGTGTGCTGTGCTGTCCATTACTCAGACTGGCGGCTCATTTCATTGGTTTTGAGACTGTACTGATTGATCTTGGCATTTTCAAGTTTAGATTTTATATCTAGTGGCTTTTCAAAGAAGTTTACTAGTGACTGTTCAGTCAAAAGTGATGCTAAAATGTGCTCTAGGGAAACAGTCCAATCCCCTTCTGTCATAGATAACGCTTGGGAATATCTCTGGGGCATCTTGCCCATGTCAGCAAAAACTGAGTCCTGGTCAGAAGTGGAGGTGGACGCTTCTGTCTGTACATCTTCCATATACTCATCGGAGCAGCTTCCTGAGCTGCTGCTTCTCTGCCCCACTTCTCCTATCTGCAGTAACAAAGTAGTTACTGTGGCAATAGCTTGATAGAGATCATTTTCCTCTGGATCTTCATGAAACATACTATATAAAGTTTTACAAAACTGGATGAATTCTCTCTGAAAAGAAAGAGCAAGTAATTAGTACACTTTCCGATAAAGAGTCTTATTAGTGATTATTTATACTTGTAAAAGGAAGTAATGGAATATCAACCTATGAAATCAATTAGTGGCAAATTGATTGAGAATTATGTATATAATTTTATGTGGCCATGTTACACACAAGATAGAAGACCAGTGTTGAGCTTGAAAGTCACAGCAATCTTTAATAGTTGTAATTTTAAGACTACAGCATTGAGCAGACCATAATTTTTTGAATTTTAGAAGACCTACCAAATTGAGTCCCCTTTCAAAAATTTCAAAAAAATTTTTTTCCCTCTGGGCTTACCTAGCTTGATTCATTCAACAGGCTCACTGAGATGAGTCACTTTTTAAACTCACTGTGTAGTTACTCAACATTTTTTTACTGTACCATGTACTCTGCTCCTAGAGTTAGATGTGTTCTAATCTGAATTTGTGCTTAGATACTGACACCTATGAAATTGCTACATGCTTAATTCTTAATTCCTTTTGAAAACTGAAGGAGCCCTTAAGAACCTCATGTATATATATAGAGAGAGAGAGAGGTTTATTTGGCTTGAAAAAAATAACTGGTACATAACAGTATTTTGCTTTTTATACCACAATCCCTTGCCGCCCTTATTGCCAAAATAAATTTGTTCAGAAGTCCCACTATGACTATCAAATATGTACATTTTCCTCTTAAAAGCAATTTTGTTCCAATCTCAGTGGAACCATGTTTGACTTCTTACAGAGCACCAAAGGCATTCTGTCAACCTTAGAGCCTTGTATTCCAAACCTTTCCTTGTGTGGGTAGGACCTGTTGGGGGTTTACCTTACTGGCATACTTTAAACAATCCCACTGGGACTTACTAGGCCATAAGAAGTAATTTTAGTTCAGGTTACTTAAGATAAAGTTTTGTAATTTGTGGTGTTTCCACTGCAGGCTTGAATACTTCAGTCGAAAGTGACCTTGGGCTCTTGAAGCCTAGGCCAGCAGAAGCAGAGTCTGGGGAATGTCCTACTGAGCTATAAAGATTTCTAGCACTAGTCTGGCCTTGTCTGTCATCTGAGCTAGGGAAAGTGCTATAAATAGCAAACTGACAGTTCTAACCATAACAGGAACGTAGAATCTTAGTATGTATATTTGAATAATAAATCCATTACCTGGCTCATTTTGGGCAGTTCTTTTTCAGTTTTATCTTTTTCTTTAGCTAAATCCTTAAGCATTTGCTTCAACTGCTTCTGATAATCAATTGCATCACCTTGAGACAAAGGGAAAAGAAAGTGATGAAACCATTCAGTAAAAGCAAGGAGGAATATAATAGCTAAGAACACAGAGGGAACCATAAAGATAATTTTTAACTTTTTTAGTTTTATTCCAAGGACTTTCTCGTTTCCTTGGTATTTCCAAGGATATACCAGTCACTTAAGACAAGTCCCAGGAAAAATCCCATCAAGAAAAGGGAGATAAAGGAAAACGATGCAATAGGGCATTGAGGACTTGTGACTACACTGTGTAATAGCTTTTAATTTCTCCCCATAGTTATGGAGAAGAACAAGGATCTGGAGTTGATCAAGGACCACGATCTTTGTGTTCTACTGGGGCAAGGAGAGATGGCATGATAGTTGGGAGGAAGCAACAATTAATTGGTACAGTTGACTTTGGGAATCTACTTCGAAGGGGTTTAGAGAAGATGGGGATAACTAGGTCAGGTGGGCAAGCTGAAGATAAATGTCATCTCAGCAACTAGAGTATCTTATCTAAAGGAAACATTTTAAAAGACTAAAATCAATACATGCCATTTGGCTTCCCAAAGACCAGGGGTCTTGAAGTTGACAGTAGTGGATTCTTTAATGGTGATTGACTATCCTTGTCATTTTCAGTGAGAGCTTAAAAAAAAAAAAAGAATAACATTTAAATTATCTAATTTTCTTAAAAATCAGTTCTTAATTACAGTTTAATGATATAGGGACACCTGCAATTTGACCCTGAATAAGTAACATTTTTTCTTTAAGTACCATTTTCTGAGTTTGGAAAATCAGAATGTTAAATTCTTATGTAAGTTGAGTAATTTACCTCAGTCTGAGGTGATTGGTCAAGTCTCCACAAGGTGGCACTGAAGCCTAAATTAGCAACATGTTTTTCTAATCAGCTTTCCATAAATTGGCATGATGTATCTAATGTATCATAGAATCTTAGATCTGGAAAAGGACCCAATCCCTATTTCAGATGAGAAAATGAAGGCAGAGAGCATAGGTGGCTTGCTTTAAAGGTAAACAGTTTGTTTTTGAACTCTGGTCTTATAATTCCAGGTTCATCACTTTTCCTTCTGAAGGTACTAAGCCATTGTCTTAACTAGCACAAAGTAGAAAAGGTGTTAGGAATTAACAGAAAATGAAAAGTGAACCATAGCACTTCTGGCACTAAAACAGGAGTTCTCAACCTTGTGTCACAGACTTTTCAAAGTAGTACCTTTAAATTTATAAAATACATAGAATTACAGATAAAACCAATTATACTGAAATGATTATCAAAATATTTTTAGAAACAAATTCATGGGCCCCAAGTAATGTATCCCTGCCCTAAAGGAATCAAAATAAACTTTATGTCCTAAAGGTTCATGTTTTGTGTGTTTTACAACACCTAGAGAAAACGAAACCAGACCTGCAGCTGATCTAGCTCACTCTATGACCTTGGGCCAGTCACAGCCTGTCTTGGCTTCCAATGTCCTGTAAAATGAGGTTACTATTGGTACATAGCTCACAAGACTGCTGTGATTTCAAACAAGACAATGCCACTATGGTCCATTGTAAGCCTTAAAGTTCATATGTTAAGCTGTCATATAAAAATGCTGCCACTTCATGATTGAAACATCCACTCCCGCTTCAGTTGGGTTCCTCTTGTAATTGGCATACAATCAGTGTCCATGGAGCCAAGCCAAGGCTTTTTGGGATGCACGTCTGCCCCGAGTTAAACTGGAGTTTAGTACTTAGGCTAAAGTGGGAGCATGGTTCCTCACAACCTGGCAAGTATTAAAGAGCTAAACACAGGTTAGCTTGGGCAAGAAATGCAAGATATCAGCAGGTTGGCCCCTAAACCCCATTTGATCTAAGTAAGCTTTGCAAAACTATGAAAATGTGCCTAAAAATTCTTTTTTCAGGCTTCAAATGAATCAGCTGCTTTCTGTATTCAGTAGAATCCTGAATATCTTTGTAGAATAGCAACCGTTAAGTTTGGAGCCTGTCACCTAAAATATATAGAAATATGAAAATGTAAATGCATCTATGGGTAAACTAAAGACAGCATTTCTTGCTCTATATATCTTACCAGGAGGGAGATGAAGCCTGTATAGTAGTTTTATTTTTTCATTCATTTCTCCATTGTACATAATATCTGCAAATGAGAAGTGGAAAATAAAATTGTTATAAGATATTCCCACCCTAGATAAAAACAGTTCACTTTGCATGCACTACTTTTGACAACTCGACATTTTAAAAAATTTTTCTATATAAGTTTTTAGCAAATTTGACCTTTGAACAAAGCTTTGCAAAATAGTTTTCAGCTTTCTCTCTTACCTGACTTTTTTTAGGCAAAAGGGCTAGAATAAAATCCTTTATCAAATGAAAACATAAAGCATTTAACAGAAGCAAACTCATTATCATCAGTACACATGAGTTCAGAAATCTGGGTGCATCCCCCCCTTGTATTCTTCATTAATGAAGTTTGTACTTTAAAAGTTACCTTCAAACTAGCCAAGACAGTAAGGAGGGAGTGATATCACCTCTCTAACCATATGATGGACCTGGTTTGTCTTAAATATTTTCTGGGAAGAAGACTAGTATAATGTTAACTACCCATATAGTATTACCTAGGCAGATAGCAAATCCTTTGAATGCAATAAGATGATCCATGTTTTCATCCAGGAGGCGAAAGGTCCTCTCAGCAAGGATTTCAGTGTGGGCACCGCATGTCCATGGAGAGACAAGTTTATAAAGGTTGATGAACTGTTGAGCATCTATCAGATACTGTTCAGCATATGGTCTGTTGGGATCATGGTGCTGAAATGCAAGACTTGTCTGTTCCCAATAACAGCTTATCATATGTTCTCTCTATAAAAAAAAAAGTTAAATATAAAGATGAGCCACTAGAGTAGAGGCTTCTAGGAGCCAGGGGCGAGGTGAGTCATTCACAGCTTATCTAATTTTATTTTTATTGAGTGTCAGAGGATTAAGGTGGAGAAGAAGGATGGCATGATGGAAACAACAGCACTTCGGGGCCAATTTCACTGTGCTACTTAAAGGCTTTGTGACCTTTGGCAAGTTAGGATTTAGAACAAGAAAGAACTTGAGAGAGTCTTGACCAACTTCATTTTATCATAAAGGGAAGTGACTTGCCTATGGTCACATCGGTATTAAGAAGCAAAAAGATTTGAAACGAGGTTACATTACTTTACTCCAAATTCAGTGCTCTTCACAACAGATCTCATCAGTTAACTTCTCAGTCTGTTTCTGTAGAAACTGAGTGTGCTTGTCTGTCTTTACTCCTCGGCTCCTGTCTTCATTCCATACTAGGGGACTTCAACACATGCCCTCAAGTGCCCTAACCACGTTTCCCACGACCCTCTCCTGTACTGTACTATAGCTGCACAGAAAGATGGCCATACTTCCATCAATTCTGAAATTCTCTTGCCTGGTTACAGTCTGTTCTCCACCTCTCCCTTTGCCTTGCAAGCCCACACTATGAACTTCAATCTCTCAACCTCTCTCCTGGCCATCATCTCTCCACTAGATATTCTTCTTTTCCTCTACTACACCCCTTGGTGAACCAGTTCCACTCTACACTGTCCCCTCTCGAGTTCCTTGCTGTCTCATCCTATCACCAATCTTGCCCTGCCAAGCTTCAGCCTTGGATCACTCCCACCATTCGTGCCGCCTGCTCCTCCTATACACAGCCTAC